AAGATTTGACCGGATAGTTGCAAAATAATTGAGATTTTTTACAAATATAATATAATTTTATAAATTTGTTATTCTCTCCATAAGAAGACGTAGACAATCGGGAATTTGACCAAGTGTGACTAGTTGTTGATACATATCCAATTTATTTATTAGTCAGGATTTGCCATGCATCAGCTAAGATCACACCTTCACATCTGTTCAAACTGTTGGGATTCACCGATATATGTAGGGCTTCTGCAGTCATGTTGATGCCTGTTGCATGGCTCATGATTGGACAAAGTTTAAAAACAAGAGTTGTTCCTTTTATATGTAAACCTCTGTTATGTTAATTTCGATTAATTTCCCTGAAGAAGTTCGGACCAGATTGCCGAACGTAACGTTGGAATTAATCATTTCAATTTCGCTGAGATTTTACAAATATAATTTTATAATGTCTACTTCTCACTCAGCGCTCAATTATTTTGCAACTATCCAGTCAAATCTTGATCACAGTTCATATGAATATATATATATATATATTTATATATAAGGGAAAAATTAACCTTCTTTGTGACCATGAGAGGGAGACATGCTCATTTTGAATATGGAATTCTTGAAGGGGGAAGGTGGCTAGCTATTTAACATTCAATCATTAGATGTCTGCATACTATCTCCCATTATATTTTTGTATAGTATTACTGAGTGTAGGTCGAGTGTTAGGTAAGAAAGGAGCAAGTAATTCAATCGACAAAGTGTTGTGATGAAGCTACACTTAATTAAGATCTACAGGACACGTGTTCATACACACACTAAACCATATTGCCATCTCTTCGTTGAGTAATGTTAGGTTGGAAAGAGAGCTATTACTGGTCAGACAAAAACTTGATATCAATTCGTAAAGTCTTTTTTAGTTATTGATTTGAGTGTCAAGTAAGTGTGTGGGGGTGGGTGGGTGTAGACTGGCTGGTGGTGGTTGGGGTCCTCGGGATTCTAAGACCCCCGTCTACCCCCAAACCTTGAGACTGTTGGTGTGATATGACTCAGATGCATTCACTTCTCCTGATTCCCAGTGTTACTATTCTTTTCGCTATATGTTTCTGCCCATTACAGTGTAACAACGGAAGACAAGGGCCAGGCAACAGATCGTTTATTAAGGAAATCAAAGCATATTTATATATTTTCATGTACATTATTATAGTTTAGTTAAGCAAACAAAACAGTCTTCTGATTGGTTGTTTCTCACTTAAAGTTAATCTTTCATCTCTTTGTAACTGTTTCTTGAATGTCAGATCATCTATATGTTAACTGTATCCGCCTACGCAAAGTCTGCTGTGGTCGGTTTTGAATCAGTCTTTGTTCATATTTTCTCACGACAAATATTGAGAACGTAAACATTGACGTAAATTACTGTCTACCAATTTGGCTAGTAGACAGCTCTCACCACAACAGTTCTTTTGAATTTTTTTTTATATTCTAAGTTTTATGTTGAAACTCAGTCGATCAACTCTGATAATATTTTCTATGCGTTTAAGTTTGATGTAACAACATTGGTCTTTCACTACCCACTGAATTCATTGACTTAAGAACTTGACTTACAGCAATTATGTGTCCCAGTTTCGAGTTCCACTTCTCATATACTTCAATCTTGGCAACTGGGAAGTATCGTTAGTCTTCTCAGAATATATGTAACTCATAGGCTCTGGCACATTGAAAAATCTCTTTTGGGGTATCTGAATTCAAATCAACTTTGAACGTGTGATAATCCAATCTTATCTCTCTCTCTCTCTTCTATTTTATTCTGTCCTGCATCTAACTTCATTGAATGAAATTCAGATTACCGGAAGTAATGTTAAATGTATTAAGATATTCTTTTTACGAGTTTTATCTGAATATTATTCTTTAATACCTTGTACTTCTTATTTATCGTTAACGTCAGTAGTTCGACTCTTGGCTGATGCTTTCATTAAACCTCAGTTAACCCTTGTAGTAACCTCAGTAAAGAGTGGAGGTTGTACATGAAGTCATCCTGTAATAAGACAACACCACTGGCTATTGGAATTTCAAAGTTCAAGCTTGTTGAAGCCCTTGTGTTCCACACGGAACACATGAAGAATGAAAAAAGCCACCCCCATCATACTAATGATTGGAAAAAGGTGGGAAATATATGCAACTACTATCATAAATGTAATTGATGAAAAATCCCCACTCGAAAAGTAATAGAGAGAAGACCAGAAGTTCAACGAAGAGTCTGTTTTCAGCGAATTCATTTTCATAGCTGTAAAATCGCAAATATATATGGTTATTTTGTATGTGTGTGTGTGTACATTAAATTTGTCAAACGAAAATACAATTAGTAAGTTTTTGAAAACATTTATCTCCCCTATACGAATTTAAAACAAGCAACACAGGTTAATAAAGCAGGATGATTTAATGAATTCATCAAATTTCAGTAGAACACGTGAGCTGAATACTCTACATACACGGATATATATACTTTTGGAATTGCATTGGAAGATATAAGACTGATAAGCAAATAAACTACATTGAATTAATCATGTAGAAAGACAGGTGCGAATGTTTTCAAGGTCATGTTCAGATAGATAAGAGGAGAGGGAGTATGAGAGATTAAAATTAAGATAAATTGCATTACGCTTCAATTACATCACTTAGATAAACAATTAGTCATTAGAGAATATATCAGGAATTGCAGAGTAATATCAATAGTAATAGTTATAATAATAATGTTGAAGTGAGTTAAGATAATGCTACTGATAAAGGATAGTTTTAAATGAATCAAGAATGACAATAATAATAAGTTTTTGATGGAGTTACGTAATACGAAAAGCGTTCAGAGCTGCAGATGCGTCGGACACGAGTTGAAAGAGATCTAATCAGGTTTCTTTTTTGATTGGTTGGTTACCCAGCTGTAGAAGCTTGTCAGTTGGCCGTTTCATATGGGTTTTCTATGCATGAAACTTCTTAAAGTTCCGTCAGCTCTGCTTGTGATTTCAACATCAAGAAATTGTAATTTTAGATTCGTTTTCTATGTCAAAAGTAAACTTTCTAGCTGTGTATAATGTTAGTTGTTGAATATTTGTAGTAGTAATTGATTAATATCGTGACCATCATCACATATGATAATAAAGATGTTGTTTACATATCAAGCATACCATTGGAAATTATTGATAGTTGATTTGATGAGTGAGAGAGTCACATGTATTTACAATTGGCTGGATTCAACATAGAACTTGGCACCGAAGTGCAACAGTTCGAGTTGCCACGTTCCAAATAGCACACACAAAGGTGGTAGACAAGAAAATGAGTGAAGGGAATCAATAGAGTTTTGACAAGTAGTATAAGAGTGGAACAGAATGAGTAATGGTAGAAAGGAATATGAAAGATTACAGAGACTGAATACATCTGCATAAGCCAGTGACAACGATTTTGAGCCATGTCACCTATTGTCTGTCTCCAGCCGTTGATTCTTAGAGTCTCGAGGGCGGGCCCCAACCCGGAAGTCTGCATCTCCCTATCTGACTCAGTTTAACTGTCAAGGATTTCATGGATTGATTGATGCCATGTTTTTGTTTGGCCACCACTTACTCTTTTCCAACCTGCACCTATATCAGCTAGTCATGCCCGTCCGTCGGGGGAGGCGATGGTTAGACATGCGCAGCACGTGACCTAGCCATCTCAATCTATGTAACTTTATAGCCTCTTCGATTGATTTTCCCTCTTTGCCCAACACTCTCCGCCTAACGTCAACATTACTTACTTTATTATACCACCTAACGTGGGAAATAGATCGTAAACATCTGTGGTCAAAAACAGACAATCTCTTCATGTCTTCCGCTCTCAATGGCCACGTCTCACCGCCATAGAGAAGGACGGAGCGAGCAGTGCAGCTGAGCAGTACACACGTCCCTTGGTTGATAGCCGGATGTCACGCCTACGCCAGAGATGGTGTAAGTTAGCGAAAGCAGCCCGAGCTTTTTGGATCCGTGCTGAGATTTCGTCACCAATCAATCAATCAATCCGTTGGTGTTGATACAACTTCCCAATTAGGTGAAGTGGTCAACATGTTCTATCACTTCACTCCCTATCACTAAGCTAGGAGTTGACGTAGTCCAGTCCTGTAGCAGCATCTTACATTTCACAGGGGCGAATTGCATACCAAACATACGAAGATTGCTGCTCAATGTGTTCGGAAGACTCTGCATTTTGTCAGCGTCCTCCCCTAACAGGACTATGTCGTCTACGTATTCTAAGTCTATAAGACTATTCCCTGGTAACAAGTCGATTCCTAAGTCGTTAAGTTCAGTTAAGGATACTTCCATTAGCATATCTATGATGAAGTTAAACAGAGAAGGGGAATTTGAATTCATGCAGAGAAAGGGAAAGTGGACATCCTTGACGGACACCACTGGTTGTTATCAATTCAGATGACAATTCCCCATAAGCCCTTACACAGCTACGTGAGTTTGAGTCGAGTGCCTTGATTAGTGCAATGTACTTTCTTGGCACTCCCTTCACAGTGAAACATTGCCATAGTACCTCTCGATCCACGGAGTCGAAGGCCGCCTTCAAGTCAAGAAATATGGCAATTGTTGGATGCCTAAAAGTGTGTCTATGTTCTAGGATCTGTCGGAGAGTGAAGATATGATCTATGCACCATCTACCTAGCCTAAAGCCCGCTTGATTTTCCCTCGTTTGCTCCTCCCGAGTTCGGCTTAGTCTGTGCATGATTACTGAGCTTAGGATTTTAAAGACTATGTTCGTTAGGCTGATTCCTCTATGATTATCGCACGAGGACTTGTCTCCCTTCTTGGATATTGGTATAATAAGTATTTACAATTGTATAGCTGTGAAAATGAATTCGCCGAAAAGAGACTCTTCGCTGAACTATTGGTCTTCTCTCTACAAATGTAATGATTATTATTATTATTATTGAGCTGTTAGTGTTTCATATATAATCACTAATTATGTTGTTTGTTGTTGTTGTTCTTGTTGTTTCTGTTTAGCCTTCTCCATTGTATCAAATATCTCCTCAGCCACATAATTCATCATCATCGTCATCTGTGAGTATCACTGACACCTCGTCGTCGTCGTCGTCATCAGTATCATCAGCAGCATCATTGTCAACTACATCAATGGCATTAATTGAAAGTAAACAGCATAATTCAGTGATAGAATATAATAATGATAATAAAAAATCATCTACGGATTTTTCACTTTTGATTGATTTTCCACGATTATGTACAAAATCTGATGGTGGTTTTTATCTTAATTTACCAAAAGATGTTATTTTACCTGAGATTAATAATAATAATAATAATAATAATAAACGACAAGATAACTGGAATCATCATGAACACCTAATGGATGTGATTATTATAATTGTCAATAGAAAAGGACAAGTATTACACTATGAAAGGTAAAATAATTGCTTTCTTTTTGGTACACTGCCGTTTTGTTGTTGTTTGTTTGTTTGTTAAATAATAAAACTCAGATTTTCAACCAGTGAGTGAATAATCCTGATTGCAAGTGACTCTCCACCTGATTTCGCTTAGGGTGGGTTTGAGTGGTGTTAGATAGTTATATCTTTTTTGGTTTGACACTAGTAACTAGTGTGATGTGTGTCTAGTCCTTGGTGTTTGGTGCAGACTGAATTCTATCAGTCAGTCAGTCAGGTTTGTAATGTGGTCACCATTCCACTAGGTAGTTCGTCATCACAGTGCACATTGATATGATGATATTAGATGGTTAGAGGCAATCGGCCAAAGGAAGCCTTGCTTGACCTAGCACCTGATAGAATTCAGGACTAGACACATCACACTAGTTACTAGTGTCAAATCAAAAAGTATCCACTACATTCCTACAGGAGGTCAATCGCGAACCCGATTAGCCCATTGGTAACGTCTCTGACTTCAGCACTCACTGGGTGACACGAGTTTGAATCTCAGAAGCAGAGACATGAGTTCCCTCAAGGTTACGGATACGCCTTGCTGACTGGTGAGTGCCAACTAGCACGAGAACCTAGGTCAATCAAGGCTTCCTTTGGCCGATTGCCTCCAACCATCTGATAGTTACACATGCTTTGTTGAGTTGTGTGGCTCAGTAGTCTATGCACTGGGTCATTGGTTTGAACCCTGTTCCACCTATAGAGGTTTGACTAGTTAGGTAGTATTACTAGCCCGTCATACTATAGGTGTGTGGGTTCATTGTCAAGTGTCTAGAACATGAGATACGTATTCTGGTTAACAACTGAGTTCAAACCACAAAACCAGCAATTGATTACATATTTTCATTGTAAAGCTTTTATTATTATTATTTTACTGCATGGAGGATTTCATCATGAGCTGACATGAGTTAGAGAACCACTGGAAAACCTGGGAGTACTGAACAGCTGTTTCGCCCTAGTTTGGGGGCTCTTCAGCAGTACGCACCCACCGGGCTTCCCACTAGAACCCCAGTTCCCGAACTAGGACGAAACAGCTGTCCCAGTACTCTCAGTTTTTCCAGTGGTTCTCTAACTGATATCAGCTCATGATGAAATCCTCCATGTCATCAAAAAAAATTCCTACAAAACCAATACTTGAATATTATTATTTTAGTAGAAAATGTCAGAACGAACTTCTGATTGACTGAAGCACTTGATGGCTTTTATTTAGTCGGTCCCGAGTTCTTCTTCCTCTCCCTGCTTCACCTACTTAAGTTCTGACCAACTAGGTGGTATCATTAGCCCTTCCTTACACAAGACGCGTGTGTTTAACCCTTATCCACTGATACATGAAAAATCCGTTTCAAGCAACTGAGTTCCAATCAATCAACTCCAAAGGAAGGATACTATTCGAATTTGCCTACAAAATGACTGAAGAGTTTCTTATGAGACGGCAGAGAGTGTTATCACTAGTTGTTTCAGTAGCTGTTTAATGTCACCTTGCTTAGTTGCTCTCACATTTCATTGTGAAATTATTTCTATATACTGAGTTGACAATTCACCTGAGTACTTTTATAAAACCTCAGAGAGAGAGAGAAAGGGGGAGGCAGGCCAGGAAAGCAAATCAATTTTGTCTTATTTTGTTTAATCGTCGACATTGATTTTTCAAGCACCTCAGCAAGAAACATTCCTCTAACATATGGTGTTCAATATTCAATAAATCAATTGTTAATTATGCACAAAAATGAAAAGTGTGAAATAATCACTCGCTTGCTTTAACTGTTCAGTCTAATGAATAAATAGACGTAAATTGATTCTGGATTATTCCTACCTAGATGTATACATCCGGGTGTTTGTTTATTTGATTTGATTTCAATTTTGATCAGTTAGAGAGAACTATTGAAGTCCAGAGAGTGTTGGACAGTTGTTTTATCCTCGTTTAAAACTCTTCATCTGTACGCACCCAAGGCTCCACCAGGAATCAAATCCCACTGCCTTCATGTTACAAGATGAACTCACATGCCATCATCCAGCCACTAGGACAATCAAGAGAGTCCACGAAGTCGGGTTCAACGACAGGTGTGTACTCAGCGATGACTTTGGCTAGCTGTCGTGTTATCTATCTATCAAATTGACAGAAGTTAGAATTGATGGGCTACGGGATTCCATCTCAGTGGTATACAATTTCGTCTTGTCACTTGAAGACAGGTCCTCGGTTCGATCCCTGGTCGGTAATCAGGTACTACTACTGAAGAATTCCAAACTAGTGTGAAACAGCTGTTTTCAATACTCTGTGGATTTCAGTGGTTCTCATTCACGATTGACCAGTTGCAAGCTTAACTAATGGCATGTCATTTCTAGTTTGTGTTTCTGTTGGTGGTGGTGGTGGTGGTGACCAAATCTCCTATCATTCAGTAGTGAATAAGAGGGTCCTCGTTGTCAAGTTGTGACTAGCTCTATCGTTCTCAGCTTTCTATTGAAAGCCAGTGATAAGAGTTTATGCAGTTTCGAGTAAATAATGTTGGTAGTATCTATTTGCTTTTGTAAATGCATAAATAAAAGTCATGATTTTTCGGTGTAATTATTATATAGGAAAATTATCTGAATAGGTGAATTGTTGTCTTCTTCTTACTGGAATCGATTGTAGTCCTTTTACACTTATCATTTCTGTTACATTTTCAATACATTGTATAGACTGACTGATCGAATATGAGTTTAACTTGGCCTTTAACACCTTTCTTTGTGATTTCAACTATCCAATTCTAAGAGCATCGAGGTAGTGCATAACTTTGAGAGATGTGTGCGGTTATGCATGTCACGTTAACTTAAGAACTCAACTTTCAGCTAATTAGTTCTTGGTGGTGGTGGTGGGGGAATCCTTCTCCACCTTTTTCAACGTGCCGATATCATGAAAGCCTCAAATATAATATATGTTTGATTCAAAACTTAGTACCTGGCGAATAGTGTTCTCAGTGATGACTGATTTCTAACCAATCATAAATTTTTCTATTGAGTGTGGTGATGAATACATTTCCAATATAGAATTGGCAGTGTGAACAGTATAGAGTTGTTTTTTAAATGTACATGTGTAAATTATTCTAAATGTAAAGAAAGATTAAGCGTCGATGACTCATTAGTAATATCAGACGGAATCAGACAATGACAGAACTCGATATATTATGGGCACCAAAAGATGTACCTCACAAGATTGCATAGTATATGGCGATGACTAGGATACTGCGCGGGCGCCCAAACAAAAGCAGGTAATTATCTTAAGGCTCCACACGGCAAACCTTTAACTTGAAGGTTGATCCACAAAGCTTTGAGTGGAGTGCGGAGTCAGGAACTACGTTCTTAAGGTCTCTGGTGACAAAAAACAGGTTCATATGCTATCTGATCCATTCCATTCAGATTCTGGAGCCCATATACATCATCATAGATTTGGAATTAGGGTTTTCCAGCTACTCTAGGTATGTCCAACTGCATGTCCACCAATCGTCCACTTGTAAACAGTAGATGTTCGTGTTTACCCTTTCGTTTCTGTGAAGAGAACACCTCCAACGCGTCACGTTGAGGTAGGGTAAGACTGAAGTCAACTGCTACTGAAGCTTTTAAGATGCTTGTTCCACTTGGACGCAAGGAATAAAAAAAATGAATACCAGTAACTGCAGCAGTTTGTTACTGAAGTACTTAAATTAAAGTGTGAAAGGTGATAAGTCGACTCTATAACATCATATTTTTTATATTTGCAACCTTTTCCTTTAAGTTCCCAGTGGGAAATAGGGCTTCAAGCTAGAGGCTTGAGGTTTCAGTAGCAGTGGTGTTTATTTTTACGGGATGGCACCAGTCAATGAAATCCACAACAGTTAGTCTAAGCCACGTTGGAAGATGTAGACTTCCTGGTTGGGGTCCTCGGGACGGTAAAAACCAATGGTTGGAAACAATTGGTGACATGGCTCAAAATCGTTCTCAATGGCTGGCACAGATGCATCCACTCCTTGTGACTGATGATTTCCAATGAAACTATATTGTTCTTCGTTATTACTATTCTTTTGTCTCACACCTCTGTTTACTGTCTCTGATATGCATTTCTCCTACTTTCTTCTCTTGCTTTGTGTGGTACAAGGAGGGAGTGTGGCGACTTGAAGTGCTGCATATATGTGCAAAGTTCTATATCGAAAACCGACCGACGGGATGGGGTTGTTAGCCGCATGCTCAACCTTCCCTCTTTGTCAGTCTTATTACTGGATTAGCGAGGTAAAGAGGTGCATCGGCCGGGGATTGAACCCCTGACCGTATGAGTGGTTGGCGCGCATTCTACCGCTGTGGCATCGACGAGAGAGAGAGAGAGACGGAGACAGAGGAATCATGTTATGCAGACGTATCTCATTAGTTGAAGTAGCCATCTTTTGCAGCCAGTGGGTAGTAGGTGGGTGGGTGGATTCCCCACCCCTGGTTCTCAAATCTTGCTCCATCCACGACTACAACTCATGCAATTGAATAATAGTATCGTTAACTCCCCCTGTGGAACAGGAAAGATTTGTTTTGCAGGTTCCTGAATTCTTATAAAGTATAGAAACAGTATGCATCTATTGACAGTCGTTTACACTCATTTCTCTATGTATGTATGTGTATATGTGCTTGAAATAATTCACAATATAATAGATGTTTATTTTTCATCCTTTTTCGTTACTTCTTTCTTTCTTTTTGTTTTAATCATAATATTTATTCAGACATTTTTCAAGTCAACACAATTTATGCTTGAATGATGATAATCATGATCAATTACATAATTGGCGGAGTAAAATTCATGATCTTGATACACCTATTTGGGAGAAACATTCATCGAAAAGTAATTCTTATTATAATTATTATTATTATTATCATTATATGCATAATAATATAATAATAATGTCTTTATTGTTTTGTTTATTGCTTTTGTTGTTGTTGTGGTTGTTATTGTTGATAGTGTTGCTTTTCAAGGGGGATGAAATAAGCGAGTAGTAAGTAGTATGTATAATGGAATTATTATTATTATTATTCAAAGAATTGAATTGTTTACTTTCCATGTTAGAATGGATTGATTGATTGATGTGATAGAGAGATGATGATGATAGTTTGAAAAGATAAAATTTCACAGTATTATCACGCTAGCTAGTGTTAGACGTATAAATTATTATTATAATTTTTTACTTACCAGTATACTTACTTTTGATTTTTTGATCACTGGGAAATGTTTATTGATGAAACTCTGAACTCTTTCTAAATAATAAGCATAAATCTTCATCAGTATAGTTAAGGTTATTTCTTATATTCTGATTGATTAATTAATTGGTTAATTTTTTACCAGTTGATCTCATGGATTGATATCAGTTAGAGAACCATTGAAAACCAGGGAGTACTGCACAGCTGCTGTTTCATCAGCCTACTTTGTGAATCATCGCCAGTACGCACCCATCACCAGGCTTCGAACTCACGACCTTCCGGTTACACAAGGCGAGTTTGTATACCTTTCAGCCACTGGGACGCCATTCAATGGCCAACCAGCGCATGAATTCTAACTTCTACCGATTCGTGATTCAGCGCGACCCCATCCAATGTCATCAGTGGGACATACATCCTCACACGTGACTGCATCGACCTCACTGGTCACGACTTCTCACTAGAACTGACTCCAGGAAACTCTCCATCCTGTAGCCAGTCACTCACTAGCGAACATTAGATTAATTTTATATAGTTTGGTTTGTAAGGGTTAGTTATGTTTTTACGAGTTGGGGTGGCGCTAAATCACGAATTGGTAGAAGTTAGAATTCATGAGCTGGCCATTGAATCGGGTCCCAGTGGCTGAATGGTATACAAGCCAGCTCGCCTTGTAACTGGAAGGTCTTGGGTTCGAATCCCAGTGGGTGCGTACTGGCGATGATTCCCAAACTAGGATAAAACAGCAGCTGTCCAGTACTCCCTGTGGCTGGTTTTCAATGCTTCTCTAACTGATATCAATCCGTGATCAACTCGTAAAAACATAACTAACCCTTACAAACCAAACTATAGAAAATTAGTTAATTCATTGATTGATTGGGTGGTTTTCTTTTTGTATTTAATTATTTTAATAAAGCGTGTTTTAATAGTTCAGTAATGATATTGTTAGGCAATGATGTCATGATTATTATTATTATTCCCGTGAGTTCCGATTTGAACATAGGACTTCAATAGAGCACATCTCTGCAGTCTTCTTCAGCTGAGCCCCCGCTCCTCCTCTTCCTTCTCCACGATTACCTATAACTCCTGCATCTCCTTTATTTCATCCTCGCATATCTACGCACTACTCATCGTTTGTTATATGGGCTTTATTCGAGCAATGAATGACCTGGCGTTCGATTTTTCCCCTACGCTTTCGATTCATCTCCATTTTCTTTGGAATATTTGTTAAGCCCATAGATTCTTGATCTGATGATATTAAATGGTAGGAGGCAATCGGCCAAAGGAAGCCTTGCTTGACCTAGGTTTCGTGCTAGTTGGCACTTACCTGTCAGTCAGCAAGGCGTATCACATATCATCAAATCATTGTGCGCATCATGATGGCTAGCTACCTAGTGGAATGGTGGCCACATTACAAACCTGACTGATAGAATTCTGTCTGCACCAAAGAAAGGACTAGAAACACATCACACTAGTTACTGACTAGTGTCCAATCAAGATTCTTGATCTATTCAGAGTGATGAAAGTACATAGGGATTGTCCAACTATACTATAGATTGTTACATTACATAGTTAATGAAGTCATCATAAGGATAAGGAATGAAATAGGCTATTGAAAAGCATATTAATTATCAAGTGTTGGATTAGAGGAGTACTAGAGTGATATTTCGTCCCAGTCTGGGACTCTTCACAGTATGCACCCACCGCTGGGGTTCGAATCTAGGACTTTCCGGTTACAAGACAAGGTCGTAGACCCTTTCAGTCGTTGGACTGCCAATCCAATGACCAGATCATGAATTCCAACTACTTCCCGTTGGAGCTGTGAGTCATCATTGGTCTAGGCACTACAATTCCCAACTAGTGGGTTACTACTGATTCGAATCCCTCTCCATGCACGGGTAGTCTAACCTGTCCACACACAGTAGGTGTGACCTGTTACCAGCTGCACGCAGTCACATGTTAGTTGCTGAGTAATACAGGGTTGATTTGATTTTGACAATTGTATAAACAAATGTTACCAATAGGCTGGTATTGCGTCTGTTAACTTTGTTGCAGACGTGATATCCGGCTATATTCGCCAAGGGATGTGTATACGGTTCATCAGTCTGCCTCTCTGTATATATACCTAGTAGACATAATGGTTGACATTGAAAGGTATGAGATAAGTTTAGACTGACTATACGAGCCTATATCTAATTGTCCACGTTGTGTCACTTTCGTGTGTAGATATTACCTTTACATTTAGCTTACTCTTGTCATCTGTAGCCCACCATTTAAGTTTTTGTATTTGAAGAGATATTTAAGCACTGCATAGTTTCACAATCGTTAATTTTCCCTCATGGCAGTTTAGTCAAGTTTATTGAGCAATGTATATATATATATGGCTCAAACTGGTACCTGTCGCACAAAAGGTTTGTATCATTGCTAACTGGACGTATGTGCCTGCTGTTGTTGAGTGTTATGTTACTTTACTTTTGTGTTATCCATTTTCCAATATAAATCAAACATATTTGTTATGATGCTAGATCCTTTGTCGCGCGATCACTGCTTAACTATTGCCCAGCGCCCACTTAACTGGTAAAGCAGAACACGAAGAGAATCTACGGTAAAACCAGGTTCATTTATTATGACAAAATTGACTGTATTTATACAGAAAATAAGGTAGACTAGAAATCAACCAATCCGGTTGAGAATTCCATATTAGTTTGTTTATTAGGTGTTTCACACAGTGAAACAGTATTATTTACTGGATGACGTTTCGAACAAAATTTATTGTTCGTAATCATATCAATTGTCAGTGCCACAGTGCCCAAGTTTTACACATATATTAATCCGGTTGAGAGTTTGAATTGTGCAAGCGTCCAGTCAGAAGCAGGAACAATTGCATGTCAACGACTTGTTAATAACGCGATAATAACTTGACTGATGACCTGATAATTGCATGTTTTGCCTCTTCCTAACAATATTGTTTGGAAAATAGATTGCTCTCAATGTGTTTTAAATATCGTGAAACTGTAGTTCATCCTTCAACATATTCTGAAGCATTAGATGCACATTTATTGACATCAGCAAACACTTGCCATATATATGCTGACCAGAAGGCAGCATTTGGACACTGTGTGTCAATTGAAGTCTACTGTAGCAATGTTTTCTCAGGAACATTGAACTTTCATTAATAATTATCATGTACTTATCCTTTTTTATGCCACATTTCCATTTATTGTCATTTTCACCTGTTGCTATCGATTATTATGCTTGTAATTTTATCGACGACGAATAGCGCGATATATACCTTCTGAATTAGATATGATAGAGAAGATTTGTAGCTCAGGTGGATGATTTTGATGTGGTTTTTGTTCTCTGAGCTGGACAGTTAATTTGCAAAGCTTTCATTGCCCCACCACTAGGTGACATCTTCAGCGCATACTTCTCCACGAGTGGAGAATTCTAAAAGCTCACTTCAACGAATTGAAGTATGCGCTGAAGATGTCGCCTAGTGGTGGGGCAATGAAGGCTTTGCAAATTAACTATCCAGCTCAGAGAACAACACAACCACATCAAAACCTTTTGAATTAATTAGTCACACTGCATGCAAGTGCTGTTGTTAATCAGTCCTGCAGCAAACAAATGACTAGACGGATAGATGACACTAGTTACTAGCTAGTGTCCAATCAAAGTATCCAATACATACAGTGGTAGTCCTACAGGAGGTTACATGCCTTACTCACTGGTGAGCGCAAAGAAGCACGAAACCTAGGCCTAAGGCTTCCTGCTGACTATTCAATAACAAAAATTCATAGTGCACCGTGATGATAGCAAGCTAATCTAGCTTGTTGTTGGTGCCCCCATTGCTCAAACTTGACTAATAAAATTCAGTCTGTACCAACAACGGGGATTAGACGTATGATACTAGTTACCTACACTATCTAGTGTCCAATCAAAGTGGTGAGTAGCCTTGGTAATTATATTGGTAGCTGTAACTACGACAATAATAATTACAATATACGAGTGAGTATAGTTGTTGACATTAGTTTTATTCGGTTGATAGTGGCCACCACTGGAATCTAGGGTGTACATTTTATCCTGTTTGGTACACATCAACGGGGTTTTACCTAGATCCTCAACGAGTGATGGTGTTTCCACACTGAGATTCGAACCCCCCCCCAGTGCTCGTGGTTCTAAACATCCAAGCTGTATCCAGTAGTCTACGAGAGGAGTCACGAGTACTTGATGTTATTTGTTGTTGAATTTATTTCACCATTTCTAGTTCTTTCATTCTACACTGAACTGAAATTCTTGATCTTCGTCTCTGTGTTGATATTGTTGACTCGCTATAGACCGTCTATCGTCGAAGCATCTGTGTTACTAGGAGCCAAAATATGTCAACAGAAATCCAACTGATTTCAATATAAATGACATGAGTTTTCTTCGTAAATCAATAAGTTGGTTATAAAGCGAGCAACTGCATAGTGTTGTTATTTTGATTTTGAGTTTTTTAATGCTTAAATTATTTTATTTTACTTTATTTTTCAAAAATAGTTTTCAATGAAGCATCACGATGGTGTCGAGCACAAAATGCTTTAATCAAATTAGACAATGAGAATGTTGTACCAACACCAACGCCAATGTCAACACCTACTCCAACCTCGGATAGTGTTGTTAACAACAACAATAATGATGATGATGATATTGATAGTTTTGATGCTGATGCTAATGCTGACAATGATGATGTTATTGTTGTTGGTGAACAGATTTCATCGAACAATTCGAATTCAATCATATCTTCTAAAAATCATCATATTAAACGTCACTTAGTTGATTGTCCTGTATATCGATTAAAATTCGATCAAAAATGGTACTATGTGCATACATTCAGTTTACCTGTATGGTATAATACTACTACTAATAATAATAATAATTTGAATACAAATTTAAAATCATCAATTTATGAACCATTAGTTGTTCATTATCACAATCTACTCCGGTTAGTTTGTTTTTTACTTTAGCTGTAAATCATTTTTTGTTATTATTATTATTACTTAGATTTTAATTTGATAACTTCATTCCATGTTCCATTTTTCACATATGGTGTTTCATAGTTAGTAGTGGCGGGCTCATTGCTTCTTTATTTCATATATATATATATATATATATATATATATATATATATATAGCACTGAACAGCTATTTTATCAGCCTAGTTTGGTACTCTTCAGTGGTACACACCCAGTGAGATTCGAACCCAGGACATTCTGGTCCACAGGGCGAGGTGGTAGACTATAAGGCCACTGGGATCCAACCCAATCCATCTTCAACCAATTCATGATATATGGCGTTACTGGCACTAACCATTGTCATCCGTGGCGGGTATTTGTCTTAACACTGGACTTGTACTCTGTTGGTCATGACTTTCCACTAGAACCTACCTGAGCATCAGATTGATATTCAAGTGTTGGTTTGCAGGGATTTGATTTGATTGTTTGGTTTCAGGATTTCATCATGAACTGACATCGGTTAAAGGACCTTTGAATAATCAGCACTGCAGTACTGGAATGGCTGTTTCGTCCTAGTGCTTGATACTCTTTATGGACATTGGATCACTCAGCATGAAAAATAAGATCCGGATTTTCAACTCCAATGTGAAGTAAGTCAGTGCTACTCACTATACGGATCAGAGACTTGGCGCGTCATAAAGAGCGCATCAAACAAACTACAGACCTTCATTAACACTTGTCTTCGCTCAATACTTCGCTCAAGATCAGATAACCGGCCAGAAAAGATCAGCAACAGAGATCTATGGCAATGAGCGAACCAACACAGCAGGAACCGATTGTGAAACAAATAGGCAGGAAGAAATGGAGATGGATTGGCTGGCCATACTCTGAAGGAACCATCAAATGACATCACTAGACAAGCTGTTGCTCGAGTGGAACCCGAAAGGGAAACGACGAGTTGGTCGTCAGTGCGAGGGTGGGTGACTTGGAGGAGGTCATGTGAAGAGGAGATCAAAACGTGTGGGCAGACATGGAGCCAGGTGAAGACTCTCGCAGAGAACGGAATGCAGTGGAGACGCACGGCTGAAGCCCTATGTTCCTCTAGTAATTAAAGGAAACAATAATAATAAATAATGGACATTGGATCGGATCCCAATGGCTTACTGGTCTACGAGATAGCTGGCCTTGTAACCAGAAGGTCGTGGAGTTCGAATCTCAGTGGGTGCGTACTGATAAAAAGTCCCAAACTTGGCTGACGAAACGGCTGTCCCAAAAAAATAATTCACAATCTGACAACCAGTTTATTTCTACATAATATAAGGTAGATCATTGCCGTCTGAACGCAGGTTAACTGATCTCTGCGTCCTACTGTATATCTGTCCGAATCTTCCTTGAGAGACAACACACTGTCACATAACACTCCGAAGATAACGAAAAAACGATTGTTCTTGGTTTCATTTTATGCTTCTTTTTAATAATAATAATAATATCATAAACTCAAAATTACTTCGCCAATGCGGTAAAGGAAAGCTTTACAGACAATGTTGGCTTCTAAGCCCGAAATAAGTACTGTAGAAAATAAATTCCTTGATCAAACTTTCAACTTTAAGTAGAAGTACCTTACACAATTAGGTAGAATATTCCCAAAAAAAGGTGGGATCAAAATTCTACAAAATTTCTCAAGAATCACAACCTAAGGTCAGAATGACCCCTTTATTCACTCAAACAAAACTGCATCGTTAGACATCACATTATCATTGTACATGGCAGAACTGCGAAGAGAAGCGAGCATTCAATTTAGAGGTTAAACACAACAGTGGGGGAAAAAAACAAATAATGGGGATCCAATCAACATTTGATCTTCAAATGTCACAATAATGACATACAGTCCAGGAGAAATTGCATAATAATTAGAAAGTTAGTTGAAACGTTCAAATGAGCGTAAATATTGTGATAAGTTCGTTAAGAAGGGATTTTCCAGAAAGTTATATTCCTTTACAGTGTTTGTGAGAAGAGAGAGTGAAGGAGAGTGAAAAGAAATGATGATTGAGAGTAAAGTTATTACGTAAACAAACAATTCGGTAAACTGGAAGATTAACAATGAATTCACCTCAGTGAGTTGTAATCAAAAATAGAAAAAAATTGTTAGTCAACAAAAATACAATGGGTAGAGTAGACATATCTAGTGAAGAGGTTAGCGTGAGATTAATCACACTGCCTTTTTTATACAAAGACCAATTGAGAATCAATCTTTTGATAGAAAAGACTTTTACGAAGTGTAAAGTAGCCAGGGTTTTTCGACTTAATTGTTGTTGTTCCCTTGATTTCCGTGGAGAACACAGGGTTTCAACAACACACCTCAACTTCTATTTGGCGCTGTCCTCTTCAGCTGAGTTCACAGTTACCCAAAATGTCTCATCTCCTCCTCGCACGATCTTCTTCTATGTCACCCTCTCACCGATAACCCACTCGTCGCCTCCCATTTGGATTCCATTCTAGCTACGACCTGGCTCGCGATGTCATTCAATGGCCTCCTCAACCTATACCCTATCCATCCATCTCCATTTTCTTCTACATATTTCTTAAGCGATGTGTTCTTGGTTAGTTTGCTTCCATAGTTTCTTGTCATTAATCCTCCTCTCTGGCCGGCCATTTGATCTTCACTGTGCAGCTAGCGAAGGCTGTTCTTATCAAATTCAACAATCTACACTCGTCAACAACATAAAATCTACCTCATACTGAAGAATGATGGTTAGGTTGCCGTATATACGCTGAGATTTTGTAAATTCTGGTTTCATAATAATAAAACAAAACATGTAGTTCAGTGAAGAGTCTCTTTTCGGCGAATTCATTTTCTTAGCTGTACAATCGGAAATATGTATAGGTTGTTTTGTATGCGTCTGTCAAACAAAAATACAATTCTGCTGAAGAAACGCTAAGAAAAAACTCTTATTTTGATTTTTTTTATTAAACACGCTGGGATTATCTTAAATAATTAATAAAAATATAATCGGTTATGGTTATTTTAACCAAAGAGCGTGGCGGTGAGGATTCCCAAGTTTTGGGTGGAGTTAGGTAATACAAAAACGGTCAAGAAAATTGGGTGTTACTGAAATTAGGTTAGTAACAAGAGTGAATTATGTAATAAGATGAATAGTTTGATGATAGAGTTGTATTCAGGGATACACATGGGAACAAAGTAGCGAATATGAAATTACCTAAGAGTTCTAAATGAATACAAGAATTATAAGCTTAGGTTTTTCTATGTGAATAGCCAGAGCTTCAGCAATACAAAGAAGATGAGACCGTATTGCCTTTGGTAGGTTATTCTTGACTCTGTAGATTACTTTGACGAAAGTGTTTGCTACGATTATATGACTAGTGTTGACAAGGTGTTCGATTATTGCACTCCTTATAGCACCACTACTTCGTTTTTCCCAACCATATTGGATAATGTTCTTGAATCCTCTTGGAGAGAATGCGCGTTGAACGATCGATGTACCTGGCTCCACAGCAGTAGGTGAACTGAAACATACACATACTAGTGGTCAGATGCGGGATCTTGTCCTTAAGGCTTCTGCAGATCAGTGGGCTACTGAAGAACACTAATCTTAGCGTTGCTGTAAAGAATGTTCTTCTCTTGAGAATGTCACTTGAAATCCAAGTTCATGTAGAGTTTCTTTTTCGGTGCAAGTGAAGTTTCATTTCTCCAAATTCTTGGTTTCATATTTTTATCAATGAATCTTGTTTTCATAAATAATAATAACACTTCGATAAAGCTATTAGCAGCATTAAATAGGGAAATGTCAGTTAAAGAACTACCATTTTGCTTTTCATTAATTGGGAAATACAAAACTGATAATAATTGAAGCTTATTATTGATTGTAACAAACCTGTGTAACTCAAGCAGGTTTTATACCTATACATACATATATATATATACGCTTCTGCATTAATCAAATTATTGTGGATCACATTTTACTTTTGACGATCTATTTTTGATCGGGAATATCGAAATTACTCCATATTATTGTTCAGTTGCTAGCATTCTTCAATTTGTATTACGATACAGGATCTCATCATGAAGTGATATCGGTTACAGAATCATTGAAAACCCAGTACTCAACAGTTGTTTCATCACCCTAGTTTGAGTCTCTTCATCAGTACGTATCCACTGGGGTTCAAACCCGGGGTTTCCTGGTTACACAACAGATTGGGTGTGAGGATAAATCCTCACCTCCGATGACATTGGTTAGTGGTCTCGCTGTGTCTTAAATTAGTAGAAGTTGGAGTTCGTGAACTGGCCACTGGATTTGGTCCCAGCGACTGAATGGTTTCAAAGCTCGGCTTGTAACCAGAAGGTCCTGGGCTCGAACCCCAGTAGGTGCGCACTGACGAAGAGTTCCAAACTAGGGATGACGAAACAGCTGTTTAGAACCCAGTGCTGGCTTTCCAATGATTCTCACTAACCGATGTAAGCTCATGATGAGAGTCTGTAACCGATGAAATTCACACAAACCAACACTTGATTATATTACAGTAGTTCATTGGGATTTTTTTCGCATTACAGACTCATTCTCGTTTTCTTTGAAATTGAAATTTAGGCTTAATTTATTGTCTATCTTTTGAATCACAGTATTGTGTGTTTTCTTTCCTTGCATTCTGAATGATGACGAAATATGAGGTTTCATTGCTTTGTAATTTCAGTAGCTGTGATTTTGTTGTTGTTGTTGTTCTTGTTCCTACGGGTTCAGGTGGCTGGCATCACACTCAACCTTGCCTAGTTTCGGGACCTACTACTACTACTAGGCCGGGCGGGTTTTAAGCATGTGTCGTTTAGAAATCGATAATGAAGCCCCTGCATAACCAGCACCTAAGTTAAATGCCAGCAATCTTTAATGTCAGACCACGCTCCAGTTTAGTTTCTTTCTGTATTGCAATAAACTATCTGTTGTAAACTGTTGAATTACTCTGCCAAGTATTTGCCTCG